GGTGTCCTGAGAGCTGGGGGTGCGGGCTGGGGATGACCCGAGAGCTGGGGGTGCGGGCTGGGGGTGTCCTGAGAGCTGGGGGTGCGGGCTGGGGATGACCCGAGAGCTGGGGGTGCGGGCTGGGGGTGTCCTGAGAGCTGGGGGTGCGGGCTGGAGGTGACCGAGCAGCAGGAGAAGGCGGGAGGGACCCCGCACGCACAGGGAGATGCTCGGGGGGCGATGCCGGCGTGGATCTCCCGCCTGGCTCAGCCCCAGCATCCCCCACTGTCCTCCATGCAAGGGAAACGGGTCTGCGATTTTCCTTCTCTTGAGAGGGGAATCACTCGGAATAACCCGGGAATCCTCTCTCCCCCAGCCTGGTTTTGTTTCCCTGACCTCTCTCCTGTAGGCCGGTTATCTGGGGGTGGGGGGAAGCTGCCCCCAGGGGTGCAGCGGGGGGGCTCCAGCCTCTCTCCCTCCCTCTGCAGCACCAAAACCCTTCTGCAGCGATCCCACAGCTCTCTGCAGAGCTTCCCGTCATACCAGGGCAGCTCGGGAAGGACGGGGGGTTGTTTTTTTTAGGTAATTGCTTTTAGTTTAAATTGAAATTAAAAGAGTCCAGGGAAGAAGAATCCAAGGGGCTGCTCAGGGAAGCTGTGGGATCTGCATCCTTAGAGCTGCATTGAAAACCGTAATAATAGACGTTTATAGTGAGGATGGATGATGGAGGAAGGGGTCTGATAGATCATGGAGAAGGGGTCTAATGCTGAGGAGAATCCTTTGGTGCAGAGCTCCCGGTGCACTGAGATTCCCACTGGATCCCTGTTTCTTTGCAGTTTTGCATTCCCATGTAGCTGGAGAGGCAGAGCTGTTGGCATGGCAGCACAGCTGTCAGCTACCAGCACTGGTAATATTTTGTCTGTTAATACATCACATCTATTTTTGTTTCATGCAATATTTACACTGAACTGTTTTAAATAATTTACAGGATTGGTTGTTATTATTAAAGAATAGTAATTATTGTTATACAATAATTTTCCATATTCTCATTATTATTATAGAATCAGTTATTACTTTGATGAGTTTTATTTTCAAAGACAGTCCACTGTCATGTTGTGTTTCCCTGGATCGGACTCCTTGGACTTTCATGGTTCAGGATGTTGTAGACATGGAATTGAGTGTGAACAGGGAATCCAATTTGTTGTTGAAGGTACAGTTACTTTCTAACACACAGAGTCAATTTTTTTGGTGTGCAGGAACCTCACAGTTTTGTTTTTCAGCACTTGCACCACTTTCTCCTCTTGGCTGCATTATGGATAATTCCTGGTTTGAGTTTTGATATGTAAGACCTGATTGCTAATGCAGAAGTTGCTGAAAACATTTGCATCTCTTTTCAACTTTTGTGAGTCTGGCTCTGATCCAGCCCCTGGGGCTCTTCAGGCCTCTCCAGGGCAGCAGCACATCCTTCCTTTGGCTGGAGGGGGAATTCCACCTCACTCAGGTTTTCCCCTGACACAAAGATCTTTCCAAGTGCCTGGTTAAATTTTATTTCTGCTCTGAAAAAGAACTGAAAAGCAAATTGAACTGGGTCCCAGAGCCCAAAGGGGAGGGAGAGACTTTGGAGATAAGGAAGGAACTTGCAGCCATCTTCAGACTTGGAGCTGATTTTGTTCTCTACCCTAAGTGTGAGTCCAGGAGCCTTCCTGATGTCTGAGAACATCTTGTGCATTCCTGCAAACACTTGACCTTTCTTCTGTCATTGCTTGATTTCTTCCTTCTCCTCTGGGCTCAGAGAACACAGAAGTATCACAGTATCTGTGCAACCAGGCTGATTCTGTCTCCAGTCACTCTGTTTGAAGTGGAAGCACTTGGAAGAAAAACACATTTCTGTTGTATTAAAATGAAATGAGGAGAAAATGTGGACGTTGCTGTTCACACAGGAGGGGGTGCCAGGACAGGCTGCAGGGCAGTGCAGAGCACGGGGCCTGTGAGCTGGGTTGGTACCTCTGGCTGTGGCTCTTCACAGAGCAGAGCAAGTGACAGCAGGTGTTTGGAGCCCATGGAGGAGCTCGAGCACCTAAAATCCCATTCTGCAGTGCCTTCTGCCTTTACCTTCAGGTGAACACGCCCCTGGTCAGCCTGACCGGCCACTTCATCCTGATTGGGATCCGGGCATGGAGCAGCTGCACGTCTGGATCTCCATCCCGTTCTGCACCACATACCTGGCAGCCCTGCTGGGGAACAGTGTCCTGCTGTTCCCCATGTGGAGCGAGCGCAGCCTCCACCAGCCCATGTACCTCCTCCTGCCCATGCTGGCCGTGGCTGACCTGGCACTCTCCACCACAGCGGTGCCCAGGGTGCTGGCTCTGGTCTGGTTCCGTGCCCAGGAGATTTCCTTCGGTGCCTGCCTGACCCAGATGTTCTCCCTGCACTCACCTGCTGGGCGGGGTCGGCGATCCCGCTGGCCACAGCCTTCGACTGCTCCATCGCCGTCTGCCCCCGCTGTGCCAGGGGCCGTGCTGACCCCGGCGGCCGCGGCCAAACCGCCCTGGTGGCTTTGCTGAGGAGCTTCAGCATCATCGTCCCGTGCATTTTCCTGCTGAAGTGGCTGCTGTTCTGCGGGCACAGCGTCATCCTGCGCACCCACTGTGAGCACACGGGCACCCACATCTCCCTCAGCATCTGGTACCTCACGGTGCCTCTGGCCGTGGTCACGCTCCCCCCTGTCCTCCTTGCTGTGTCCTGTGTGTTCATGCTCGTGGTGCTGTTCAGGCTCCCTCCAGGACCACAAGGCTGTCAACACCTGTGGCTCTCACATCTGTGTTTTAGTCTTTTTCTGCGTTCCCGTTGCTTTCCTGGCTCTGACGCGACGCTTCAGCTGGAACATCCCCCGCCACATCCACGTCCTGCTGGCCAACCTGCACGTGCTGCTCCCACCGCTCTGAACCCCTCGTGTGCGGAGTGAGGGCACAGCAGAGCAGGGAGAAGGTTGTGAAGGTGTTCGTCTGCTCCAAGAGCCACTTCCTGGGAGAACAGGAGTGAAGGTGACAGACACCTTGATGGGACTTCAAGCTCCCCACCCCAGAGTCTCCTTCAACTCTTTCAGGCAACATTCCCAAGTCTTCTGCCATCCCAGTCAAACACAGAACACCCGACACCCCCACACCGCTGTCCATGAGTTTGGGGAAAATGAAAGATAAAGGCAAAAATCAGGATCTCTGTCAATGGGAGGACAGCGACCAAAGAAATGGGAACCTACCCCAGGTATGTCACCTGGGGGAAATCCCAGAATCCCAGACTCACAGGGTGGTTGGTGTGGGAAGGAACCTCTGGAAATCACCTCATCCAACTCTCTGCTCAGTCAGGCTGACCCAGAGCAGGTTACCTGGGATCACATTCAGGAAGGGTTTGGAACATCTCCAGGGAAGGAGATTCCACACCCTCCATGGGCAGCTGCTTCCAGTACTTGGTCACCTGCACAACAAAGAAACTTTCCCTCATATTCAGCTGGAGTTTCCCATGTAAATCCCTTATGAGGAGGAGGCGGGTGGAATTCACTGTGGCGTGAGAATAAATCTCCATCTCAGTTGTGTTCTCTGGAGTCAGGTGGAAAGACATATAATGAATGTGTTCTTCTGAATCACAAGTGTATAATGGAATTTATTTTAGGGAATTATTCTTTATTAAAATTCATAGTATTGGAAAATCTCCAAAAGGAAACAACACAGAGACAAAGCAAGTGTTGCACTTCAGCATTCGTGAGGTCTCTTTATTCTTAATTGACCTTACTTTGATTAAACACGTTGGTGAAAAATCATTCCCAGAAGAATCATAGAATGGCATTGAAACAAATTGTTGTTATCAAATCCTAAAAATGCTCCTGCTCCAGAGCGGCTGCTTTCCTGGAGCTTAAAAATCTCTTGGGCATCCCTTTGGAACTGCAGAGCTGGGCAGGGGCTGCCGAGTGTCTCAGAGCAGCCTGGTGCACTGAGCCGTGCAACTGAGCACATTTTGTTGCTAAAATACCCTTTTGTTTGGAGTTACTCTCTCTACAAATAGCCAAAATATATTTAATGCCATTCTGAGGTGGAACATTCAGTAGTTTGACTTCATTTCTTGTTGCTCAGAGGTACCACATGGGACTGCTATTTAGTGAAGAAATAGCAAGTAAAAACTGTTGCCTGTTTGAAGGTGGCTGTGAGGGAGCAGAAGCTGGTGCTGCCCTCCAAGGCCTCCAGCCAGTGGCAGCCACATGTATAATTCATAGTTTTCTCTACGGCAACGGGTGTTTTATTCGTCGTCACTTTATCGCTCATTTAATGGCAGAGGCTTAATGCTCCAGTGGAAATCCATCACTACCCCAGCCACCCAACAGGAGAGCCAGAGGCTGTGCAGACTCTACAGACCTGGCAGTTTATGAAGGCAGAGGGACAGAAGTGGTGCTCATTCCCGTTTTGAGTGGTGTTTATTCTCATTCTGAGCAGCAAAGATGGGTTCGGTGATTTGCCCAAGGTACATCGAGCCTCACTTTAGAATCTAAATTAGGTGAAGTTTTTTTATGGTAAAAATCTCATTTTCTAGGCTCTCGGTTGCAGTCAGAACCCTCAGCACGTTCAGCCTCTCTGACTCAGTGTGAGGATCACAGTTCGTGATGTGCCTCGTTTTCACCCCAAAAAATAAGAGGGTCAAAGGCAGAGGAACTGATGGTGCCATCGTGTCCATGGTGGGGAACATGGGGACCAAAATGGTGCACTGACAATGAGAAAGGTGCTGGTATTCAAAGCAGGAACGCAGAGAGAGATTCCTTGTCTTGCTACATACCCAGATTAAAAACACCCCCAAACTTTTTCGGTTCCAAAACGTGCCAAGTTTCGATTGGCTCTTGACCCCACAAAATTTCTAGGTGGATGCTCCATCAGGGTCACAAAAGCTGCAAGGGAGGAGGAAACTGGTGTTACAACACTTATAAAATGGTACATTTGCAGTGCTGGACCCAGCGTTGTCACTGGTTCCCTGTAAAACAGGGCTGAGGTGTCTCCTTTTGCCAGGAATCACCGATTCCATAGAGTTTGGAGGTAAGAAACGAATCTAAGCTTGGCTTTGGTTTCCAGTGTTTGAGTTCCATTAGGTCAGAGATAATCTTTAAGTTCCCTTCCAACATCAACCATTCTCTGATTCTATAAACTCCTCATCTGAGTTTAATTTATGCTGAAACTCTGCCATCTGCCTATAAAACCATAAACCTTTGTGGGTGTGTCAAACCTGGGCTGCTGTTTTGCTGTAGGTTTGTTTTAGGGATGTGTGTCCTGTCCTGAGCATTGATCCTTTGGAGAAGAATAAAGGAGTGATTTTCTGGGGTGTCTGGAGAGCTGAATGAGCAAGCCCCTGCAGATCAATAAACCCTTTAAATACAGCTGGTGGAGCCGTGCTGATCTCAGTGCCAGCACACACACTGGCCAAACAGCTCCACAGAAATGCTCCACAGGGATGATCCCTGTTCTCCAAGTGAGGGAAATACAGGGGGTGGCCTGGAGGGTCTCCTCAGTGGGATCCCACCGAGCCTGGACCTACAGAGGAGTGTTACAAAACATCCCTGGAGTCCCTGGGTCAGCAGTGCTGCTGCAGCAAAGTCATGCAAATCCCATTCCATCCCAGCCCTGCTTGGATCGGCAGAGATCAAAACTGCAGTGAAATCAAACCTGAGCCTTGATGTGGGCCATGGACACCTCCAGGGGTGCCAGTCCTGGTCCCTCAGCGGGGTGTGCAGAGCTGTGAGTGGGAAGGTAAATCCTGCTCAGTAGGGCCAGGTCCTGAGCCAGCACGAGGACAAACGACCCCTGTTTCTGCATGGCCAGAATTATTTTCTTTAGTAGCTGCCAAGCTGCAGCTGTGCTTCAGTTTGCTTGTGTGGTGCAGTGTGTGAACGTCCCACTCCCAGCTCTAGGCCAGGTCTAACCACAGCCAGGTTTGCATCAGCCTGTGGAAATCAGAGCTTGCCCTGGGAGTTCCTGCCCGGGGCTCAGTTCATCTCGCAGGGCACACGCAGGGCAGGCGACACTGGGACAGGCTGCCCAAGGTGTTGGTGTCTTCTCCCAGGGAACGAGGAGGAGAGAAAACAGCCTCAAGTTGTGCCAGGTATAGGCTGGGTGACAGGCAAAATTTCATTGCTGAAAGGGCTGTCCAGCCCTGGCACAGCTGCCCAGGGCAGGGGGGAGTCACATCCCTGGGGGGATTTAACAGCCCTGTGGAGGTGGCACTTGGGGACGTGGTCAGTGATGGCCTTGGCCACGCTGGGGGAGCAGTTGGACTTGATGAGCTCAAAGGGCTTTTCCACCCTCTGGAATTCTATGATTTTGTGATTCTATGATGTCTCAGTCTAACTGAGAGGCACAAGGGAAGCATTTCAACACCAACTTAGTTGAGCTGGAAGCAAGAACTGGAGAGGTTCCCCCTTCGTGCCTGAAGCTCACCAACAACAATTGTTGCTTTCACGTTTTAGACAGGGGTTTTCAGAGGTCTTTGATGGACTTCAGGGGCCAAGCCTTTCATTGCCCTGGCAGCTGGGCCATGGAGCTTATTGAACACCCCCAGTCCAGGTGCAACTAGAGAATGAACACGTTGAAATAAACCCTGTTGCATTTCTTTGAGGCAACACAGAATCCCAGACCAGTTTGGGTTGAAAGAGACCTCAAAGCTCATCCAGTGCCACCCCCTGCCACGGGCAGGGACACCTCCCACCAGCCCAGGTTGCTCCAAGCCCCGTCCAACCTGGCCTTG